CGAGCTTTGTAAGTATCTCGGAATCGCTCAAAATAATTTTTAAGAATTTTTCCATGATTTTTAGGCAGCCGGAAGGGGCCCCACGCGCCGCCACTACGCGTGGGGATGGTCCAAATGATCGGTTTGACTGGTTTTGGAGTAGAGTTGACCGATTTGACCGGTCACAACTAGACTCGACCCGTTAACCCGACCCGATCTGTTGACCCGACCCGTTGATCGTTGACCGGCGTTGACCACTGTTGACCAAAACTTTGACCGGCTTTGACCGGGCATTAAAGGACCTTTGACTTTGACCGAGTATACCTATCCTGACATTTTTCGACGTTCCAAATCTGATTCCGCAATCGGTTTTTCGAAATTCGAACCCAAAGGCCTCGAAATTGCCGGTCAAACCCGATGACTTTGATTTTGACCAAAAATTCCAAATTTCCGAAAAGTCATATTTTATGCTTTCGATGTCCTGAATCCGAAGTCCGTTTCGCCAAATTCGAACCCGGTAAGCTGTTTTTCACTAATTTAGCACCCGATTCAATCCGTTTATCGTAATTAAGCTCCGTTTTTGATATAATTTATATTGATATGTATCTGAGGAATTATTGGAAGTTGAATTGAAGATCAAAGGCATTCGAATGGAATTTTTATGGTCGATCAGTATTGCACGAAAATCGAGGTAATACTTTACTACCTCTTTATGCTTTATGGAACATGTTAATATTGGTAAATGCATGAATAAGATAATATTGGTCACTTTTGTGGAGTTGGTTAATTTATACACTCGATATGAATGTGGTAGAAATTCGGTAACTGAATATGGATCGAATGACTAATATAAGAGATTGAAAGATTGTTAGAATTAAATTACAAGTTTGTGATTAGTGATAAAGAAATCAGACATGGATTTGTAAATTATATTTTATATCATCAAAGGTTAAATGTTAAAAGTACTTGGATGGGAAATTATGAGAATATTCTGGTAGGGTAAAATTACAAAAATACCCTTATGTTGTAGGATAACAAGAATTGTCCCTGGAAGTTGGTTAATAACTCTGAAAAGACATTGATCATATATAACTACTGATGTGCATAAGAAATGTTAGTTTTATTTGAAAATTATGGATAACCGATTTTAATCCTAGGAGAGTTTGTGAAGGAATCATTTCAAGATCAAAGAATGTTCGGGAAAGCAATTAACCATTGGATCTCTAAAGTATAATTATTTTCGTTAAGAGTTAATACCAAAATTATCTTATTAAGAAATTATGAAAATACCCTTGAGAGGTAAAAATAGTCCAAGTTGACTCTGAATGAGGAAGTAACATGAGAATTTGTTTTTAAATCGATAAATTACTGATTTGATTATTGAGATCCTATTTTTGTATGAAAAATTATGATAATCCGTTAGTAACATCTGAGAAGGCATTTAACTTGGAAATCTCCGACTTGAGTAAGTACGTGAAGAATAATAACTTATCGATGGTGATATTTTGTCAGAATAGTTCAAAGGGACTGACATAAATGATAAGTTTGAATTAAATAATAAGACCGAATGGAAGGAAATGATTGAAATATTCTAGATTTGTAAAATGACCAAAATACCCCTGGAATGGAAATGATTCAAGAATGTCACCAAGCTCAGGAATGAATGGATATACTCAAGCTTTGAAATGAATAGAAAAATATTGAGCACTAAAATGACCAAAATACCCTATTGGCCTAGAATAAGTAAATGTCTTGGATTAATTAAGGAATCCAAATAAACATGGATGTTGTACTGCTCTTAAAAGTTTTGGAACGCAGCTTAAGTGATCAACCAACGTTAGTGCTATATCATTACCTGAATGATATAAGTACCACTTGAATGTCTGTTCATCTTCTCAAATTTGGATCGATGATAATTCTGGAAGTACTTGGCTCAGCTCAACTCTAGATTGCATACAGTACTAATAAGTGGGTATTCGTGAGTCAAATCAACCACGAATACCAGAATGACTTTATTATATGAATAAATTGAACTAAAATGAAGTACAACGTGTATTTGAAATTCAGAAACGTCTGAATTATTCTGGAAAACTTTAAAGTAATCGAGATAGACTTGCTTACTAAACGAACTAAGTAACATCAATGACTGAGGATTAAATATGTGATTGGATGAGTTTGGAAACACTGTTGAACTTACATGATGAATCGTCTTATGGGTTATGAGCCATGGATCAAGTACGTCAGTATTTCCTGATATTGTTGAAACGTGGAAATGAAATAAAGACCGTTGGAAGATTTATTCAGTGATGATTATGGGGATGATCTATGGATCTACATTATGGTATTAAAGAGTGAATACACTGGAAGGATAATGAATTGACTTGTTGACATGCATCAGTTTGGGAGTTGTGTAACTCGAGTTGTTTGATAATTTGATCGATAGTCGTAGATTGTAAATGACTTGAATCTTCGATTCTATATTTCATCTAAAATCACTTCGGTCATGTTTGAAAAAGCAAGTAACGCAGAAGGAAAAGATCTTGAATACCTCATTTGGTTCAATTGGTCTGAAATCCTATGAATTCAAAGTATATTCTTGAATACCCCTGATTGTTTGGGTAATGGAATCACTCGCAATAAATCTGAATTTAGAATTATTATGTATAAAGGTTCCTGAATGTTTTCCTAATGCACACGAAAATATAGTGGGATTCTAATGTATCAACCTTAAATGTCTGGCTAGATCGGTTAGTAATCGATTCTCCTCAATGGGACCTTGTTCCTGGAATTCGATCAAATTTCATAAGTTTCATGTTATCCGTAATGATAACTACAATGGCCTCTGAAAATACTTGGATTCTCTAGTGTGTTCCCTATTTATTACTGAACTGTTTTATTTGTTTTAAAATGTGGTACACTGAATTCTATGGCTCCTGTTTTATTGATGCACCAATTTATTGTGATGTTTTATGGATTAAGACGACTATCTGATTTTTGGTTTGAACTGGTATTTGATTACCATGTATATGGATTTATGGAATTTATGTCACGGTGAAATTGTATTTTTGATACGGATTTATAAAGTACAGCTCTGATCAAGCTGGAAAACTTTGACGGACCTAATGTGACTCTTGGGTAGGCTCACGGGCCCCAAGATGTTCCATTAGGTTGGCTCCCTTTTGCTGTATGCTTAGGGTAAGCCCTATGGACTTACGGACTTAAGGATACAGGCCCCAAAGCCTATCCTTAGGTTGGCTTCCTTTTCGCTGTGTGCTTAAGGTAAGCCCTATGGACACAGTTCTAGGAACTGCGGATGGTGTACAAGAGAATGATTTAAACTACAAGTTTCAAAAGTTAAATTTCATTATGATTTTATGAGATTTACTGAACTATCATTTGATAAGTGTACCTATTATGATTTTATTATATTGTTGGAACACACTAGACATCCTATTCGATCTCCTGAAAATGTCATACTTTGAAAGGTTTCTTATGAACTGAGATTCATGGCTTCTACTCGATGAACTTCTAAGGGAACCCCAAATTATTCTGCAAATTGGTATACGTATGATTCAATAAGGAAATTATATGGCTTTCCATTTATCTACATGTCATGTAGCATCATCTGGTAGTTCTGTATTACTGAGCTTTCCGAAGCTCACTCTATTACTCAACATTGCAGGTTAAAAGAATTGTACCAGTGCAGCTATCGACATCAGTAAGGGAGTTCTTCAGGCGTTGTTTTTTAGAGTATGATACATGTGATTAGGGGGCATGTAATTGTATTTTGTTTTATATACGAGTCTGAAAATTTGTTTTATTTCTGAATACTAATAAATGATTTTATATGTTACATGTTTTAAGAAAAGTTTTAAATTTTTCGCTATTTTTACAGTGGGTCGCTCCGGTGGCCCTAATATGACACTCCAGATCGGATCGGATTACCCGCATGGTCTGAGGGGGTTACATTATTTTATGAAAGTTTTTCACCATCTTATCTATGGTGTCTAACTAATTAAATGAGAACACATCACATTTATTTTCTATATCATATTTTCTTATGAATTAAAATTTTCAAATCATTATCTTATGCTTCATCTCATCATCTTCTTCCCCAAATTTTAAAAAAATATTCAATATATGGATTGCATTTTTACAGATTTATTCAGCAAGAATCAGAATAAACTATGGAGATTTGATGCTTAAAGTTTGAGAAAGAAGATAGTGGGATGAGGAGGAAGATAATGATTTGGAAATTTTAATTCATAAGAAAATATGATTTGAAAAATAAATGTGATGAGTACTCATTTAATTGGTTACGGACTATAGATGAGGTGTTGAACAAGGTTCATGAAATAATTTCTCATGAGTATTTTAAAAATTTTTTAACTTACAAATATTTGTTTGAACTCGAGACCTCTATAGAAAACAATATTTCCTTTTACATTGAAGTGCTCAATATATTCTTTAAAATTTAATTATTAGTATAGATTAAACTTCTATTTTAATAGAGCCGGCCGGTATCCAAAAGTCAAGAAAAAAAACATAAAGTTTACTTCCAAATTGAATGATTAAACATTAACACTCATCATGAGTACAGGTTCCATCTTAATACGTGTTATTACATTTGGCTAATAAAAGCAGCTAAGGAGGGCAGGGCGGGGGGGCTCTGGGTGCCGGAGTATGCAACTTTGACGTTGGTGCAGTTAGAGCTGAATGGAATGGAGGCCTGCCCTGCACCTGCGAACTGCAAGTTTATATTTTTATGGGAAACACCTTTGCATGGATTGGCTTTGCTGCAAATCAGTTCTACTGCAACTTTGCCCGCACAAGTTCCTCTGATGTTTGTGAATTGAACGTCAGTGACGCTTACTTTCGAATGCTTCGTCGAACCATAAAGAAAAATATTCAAGATCTATGTAGAATAAATTTATATATTCGTATATAATGTTTGAGATGAAGGAGAAAGGAAAAACAACCTGACTGCTTCCCCTCCGTCCGTATTCTTGATCTATGATGATAGGGTTCTTGACGTTTTATATTTTCATTACCAGATTTTCGTAGATAATGCCTGAAGCTCTGCTTGGACTATCGGATTTGTAAGTTTTGATTCTTGCACCATGGTCTGTGTCTGCAAACGAGCAGTTACTCACCGTCATCAGGGTCGGCTCTGGCTACTTTTTAGCCCGGTGCGAAATAAAAGAAATGGACCATTAGTTATACAAAATCTTGTAGTTCTAAATTAATAGGCACTATAGAAAATATTATAGGCTCTGGGCGGGCGCCCCTCCTGCCCCGGCCTAGGGCTGGCCCTGACCATGATCCCGAAAACATCTCCTTCGGAATCGTAGTGTCCAAGGATACCAATACTTTTTAAACACAATCCGAAACGATTCAGAATCTCTATAGTAAATGATTTAATAGATGGATAGATAGAAATATGGATGGATAAATTATACCTGATACCGTGTCCAGGGCCACAATCGACGTTCTCGACAGTGATGTTGGTGGATCCATGGATGATGGAGACGCAATCGTCACCTGTGCCGATGCGACTGTTTGTTATTTTCAGCATGTTGGTTTTGCTCATGTGAATGCCATCAGTGTTGGGGCTTTCAGCAGGAGCTGTTATATTAACATCATCAATCCAGAGGTTGTTGCAAATACTGATCATCATATGGAACCCTTTAGCGTTAACGGATTGAATACCATTGATGAACTTCAAACTCTTCAGTTTTACAACACGAGATTATTATTATTATTAATGTCATCATTGTCGTTGTTGTCATCGTCATAGCTAAATCATGAAACAACAAATTCAGCTTACTGCAGGCATTCGACCGCATCCTTTGCATTTGGGCCTCCATGACTTTTCACCTAGGCCATTGAAAGTACCCTTCCCACTTACAATCAACCCATCAATGCTCTGGAATGTGATCCATTCTGCACCTTCGGCTGTCTTCGTATTACTTTGTGGAAGAACATTTCCACTGACTTGAACCATCAGCGGAGCTTCACAGCTGCAAGGTCTGGAAAACAATATCAATCCTACTACGTATTCTCCTCTAGGGATCACCAGCATTGCCCTTCCTTGATGATTGCACGCTGCTTTGAATGCCCTAATAAAATTATACAAAAAGAAATCAATTCATTAGCACCATAATGAAAACGAAGAATTAGAAAGGGTTTCATAGGTTTAAGAGCATACAATGGAGCTAGGGGAGTTTCCATTAGCCTTGGCACCATAGTCCAAGACATTGAAAGCTTTAACACCGGGGCCGGCATTACCGGTGGCAATCCCTTTAGCTTGTTCCATGGCATGATCAGTATAGAAGATGGCCGATAATTGAAAATCAAGAAGACCAAAGCCTAGAACAAGAGTGCCCATTATCCCCCGTAGCCCCATTGATGCCATCTTGATACGGATGGCTTTGTTTATTGTTCTTCATTTCTTTTCGTGTTTTGGTTAAAATGTTCACAGGCCTTAAATGGAGAGCCTAACTTCAAACACTAATGTTATTTGTGGATGGACTAAATTGTCGGGAAAAATTGGTTTAGTTGTTTAAACTTTCATTAAAGTTCGCAACTAAAATAGCTATATTTACTATTATTATTATTATTATTATTTCAAACCAAAACCTACAGATCGGGGTGAAATTGACATTATATCCATCTTTGTACCATTTATACAAAGTTCCATGTATTAGGGGAGAATTGTATAGATAATGAAGTATAAGTATTAGATGTTTGATTGTTTAATTCGTATAAATTCGAATCACAATTTCTAAATAATAAGGTTATTCAAGATTTATAATTTTTGGGGTAATTATTAATTAATTGATGACAGAAGTCCCAAATCAAAATTAAATTTAGGTTAAGATTAATATTATATTTTTGCTTTTACAAGGAAAGAGGGCATTTCCCTATTAAAAAAGAAAGCTATATAAGACAACTTCAACAATAAATTATAAGGTCACCAAGCAGAAGAATTTGTACGCCGATAAGAGGTTGCTCAAACAAATAAAACCCAGGTCCGTAATTTATAGAAGTACTGACCATAAAATAAGCATTTCGGGTTTTTTTCTTAGTAGTCTGATATAATTACAAAATAGTATATGTTTAAAAAAAATTTAACCAATTGACAACACATATACATTGCAGAAATAACTGCTTGAGCCTAAAACATCTGGGAATAAAAACATTTTTTTTATCAGTGAGTTCGTTGTAGCCTAAACGGAGTCCTTATTCTTAGAATTAAACTAATTTCGTTGTCCACATCTTTTGTTTCCTTGACTAGATTCACCTTAATCAAATTATATGTTTCCTCATTCATGGTCCTATAGCTATTCACTCTTGCCCAAGACAATTCATCAATCTTCCCCATAACTCAGCTTGTGTAAGATATATTGTTTTAATAAGAAAATTAAATTTAGTAAATTAGTAAGTGTACTGGTAACAATCACATAAAGAATGACAAGGTGTTGGTTGTCACGGGGTTAGGGTTGAAACTAGTCGACTTAAGTACAAAAACATTAGTTGTGTGCTTAAGTCAACCTCCAACAAGGATAAATAATGTCTAAATACACTTAGTCGACTTAAAAATCGTATATCAGATTGAGTGGAAGAAAACATAATAAAAGAATGCTTAAAATGAGAAGATGGCCAGAGAGATTTGAGCTGAATGTTCGTGTTTATCTTATTTTCTCATTAAATTGATCTTGGTAATTAAGGTGCGAAGAGCCTCTATTTGTATTCGGATACACTTACAATCGATTGTGTCATAATCGGACATAAATTTATTTGCTCCATCGACTAGGATTAAAACTCCGATCCACAAGCCAAGGTCTTAATACAACTCGAAGTCAATCTTTTATTTTTGAATCCTGATCTGACTAGGTTTCTATTTACTTAATGAATTGAGTCTCTCAGGTATGGGCATTTTGGATGGCAACAAGCACAATTCGATTTTGGAGGGATTTTTTGGTTTGACGTGTTGCTCGATACTCCTCGGGCGTCTATATTTGCATGGTTCTCAGACCTTGATTCGAGGCTCAGGACATTCTATCCCACTAAATTCAGCTACGTCATCGTTGCTTATTCAGAATTAACTTGAGCCAACTGATTATGGATCTCCCTCGGGACATAGCTTGCTTCCATTGCCTTTGGATGACTTGTCTATGTCGCCATGTAGCTTTGCTTGTTTTCCTTGGAACATCCTTAGTAAAGTGGATGTCAGTCATTCTTTTGGTCCCTTCCTTGATGTCCCGATGGACTGACACAATACATTATTTGCAAGCGGCCAAGATGCAAACAGAGTCGACACAAGGGATAATACGAGCATTAATTCGGTTAAGGAAGTATAAATCGAGGACAAAATCAAAGTCATCCAAAGGTATTAATTTAAATTCTTCAAGGCTCTTCCATTAACTAATCTGTAGTTAAACCCTTTGTGCCACTCTCCCATGATACGGACTTCTTCGGAATTGACCGTCTTGATCCATCAGATTAACCTTTTAATCTTGAGACCAAGTTTGTTTGCAGTTTTTAAAACATATAAAGGTCAGTTGCTCTCGCGTCGAGTAGAGAACTCCTTAATTGAGCCTCAATATTGATGTCCACATACATCACCCCTCTTGCTTTCGATCTTTTCTTGCATTGGAGAAATTGAAAATCATCATATCGAACTTTGTAGCTGCAGTACTCTTGGGTTTGTTCTTTCTCTAGGGCGGTTTGGTTTGGTTTGATTTGGGAACTCATGCATGTAACACCCCAATTTAGGGGCTAAAATTAAGAAATTATAAAGTGATGGATTTAATTTGGTATTTTGAAAGAAATAGTGGGTTAAATTGCAAAATTTTAAAGTTGGCAGACCGTTTTATGAAATACAGGAAGTTCAGTGGGTAAACTTTTGGTTTAACCATTTTTAATTATGAGATTATATAAACTCCCAATTTCCCGTATGTTTCTGGAAATTTTTCCAGTTTTCCCTCTCCCCGTCAACCCCTCTTTCAACTCCGATCTACTCGCCGTCTGGCCTCCGATCGACGAGTCGAAACCACCATCGTGTTCGTTGTCAAGCGAGGAACAAAACCCCTCAAACCTTTCATCGTGAATCGTCACCGTTCGTCGTTAATTTCAGTCGGAAGTATCGTAAGTAATAACTCAATTTCAATTGGTTTTTCATCGATTCACGACGATCCGAGCATCCGTTTACGACACCTCCAGCACCATCGTGTTCCTTGCATCGTTCCGAGTCTGTCGATGTCATCCTTGGTCTCCGTCGACGGCGGCGAGTGAGGAGGTGAAGCGGTCAAAGTTTCCGATTTGTTGAAATCGAGCTCTCCGCCGTTCAAAATTGTGAACCGAGCTTTTTAAGTATCTCGAAATCGCTCAAAATAATTTTTAGGAATTTTCCGGGAATTTAGCACTGTTCACGTGCCCCCACCCGCTGCCGCTGCGCGTGGGGAAGGAAAAAGTGACCGATTTGACCAGTTTTTGAACTATTTTGACCGGCCACAACCCGACCCAACCCGTTGACCGTTGACCGGCGTTGACCACTATTGACCAAAACTTTGACAGGCTTTGAACGGGCATTAAACGACCTTTGAATTTGACCGAGTATACCTATCCTGACATTTTTCGACGTTCCAAATCCGATTTCGCAGTCCGTTTTTTGAAATTCAGACCCGAAGGCCTCGATATTGGTAGTCAAACCCGTTGACTTTGATTTTGACCGAAAATTCCAAATTTCCAAAAAGTCATACTTTATGCTTTCGACGCTCTGAATCCAAATCCGAAGTCCGTTTCGCCAAATTCAAACCCGGTAAGTTATTGTTCACTGATTTATCATCTTATTCGATCCGTTTATCGCAATTAAGCTCCTTTTCTGATATAATTTATGTTGATATGTATATGAGGAATTATTGGAAGTTGAATTGAAGATCAAAGGCGTTCGAATGGAATTTTTATGGTTAATCAGTATTGCACGAAAATTAAGGTAATACTTTACTACCTCTTTATGCTTTATAGAACATGTTGGTATTGGTAAATGCATAAATGGAAATGTTTGGTCTCATATGTGTAATTAATGAAGATCTACACTAGATACGAATACGGTAGAAAGTAAGTAACTGAATATGGCTCAGATGACTATTATAAGAAATTGAAGGACATTTGGAATTAAATTACAAGTTCTCGAATTAAGTGATAAAAGAATCAGCCATAGATATGTAGATTATAATTTATCTCATTAAAGGTACTTAGATGATAAATTATGAGAATATTTCGATTAGGTAAAATTATGAAATTACCCTTATGTTGGAAAATGACAAGAATTGTCCCTGGAAGTGGATTAATAAATCTGAAAAGAATTACTGATCTTCTAAAACTATTGATGTGCATAAGAAATGTTAGTTTTACTTGAAAATTATGGATAACCGGTTTTTAACCCCAAGAAGGTTTATGCTAGATACTAGAAGTCTTTTAAGGAATCATTTCAAGATAAAAGAATGTTCGAGGAAGCAATTAATCATAGGATCTCTATATTATATTATTTTCGTTAAGAGCTAATATCGAAATTATCTGGTTAAGAAATTACGAAAATGCCCTTGAGAGGTAAAATAGTCAGAGTTGACCCTGAAGGAGAAAATACTTTGAGGATTTTTACTTAACTCGATTAAGTACGAATTTAATTATTAAGATCCTGTCTTTGTAAAGAAAAATTCAAGATTTTTCGTTTGTAAAATCTGAGAAGGCACTTGACCCGAAAATATCCGAGTTATGAGTAAATACCTAAAGAACAATTTATCGGAGGGTGCTCTTTTATCAGAATTGTTCGAAAGGACTGGAATAGATGATAAATTGGAATTAAATAATAAGACCGGATGGAGGGAAAAGATTGAAATACTGTAAATCTGTAAAATGACCAAAATACCCCTATCATGGAAATGACCCAAGAATATCACCAAGCTCAGGAATGATTGGATATCCTCGAGCTCTAAAATGAACGGAATAAAACTGAGCATCAAAATAACCAAAATACCCTTATGGCCTATATTAAGTAAATATCTTGGATTAATTAAGGAATCCAAATAAGCATAGGTGTTGGACTACCTTTTGAAGTTATGGAACAGAGCTTAAGTGAGTGAGTTCATCAATCTTAATGATATGTCAGTACCTGAACGGCATAGATGTTACTTGAATGTTTGTTCGCCTTCTCAAGTTTGGTTTGATGATAATTTTGGAAGTACTCAGCCCAACCCAACTCTATATCGCCTTCGGTACTAAGAAATATATATATTCATTAGACAAATAAACCTCGAAGACCAAATTGAATTGAATGGAAGTACAGTATGCATACGAATTTCAGAAACGTCTGGATTACCCTAGAAAAACCCCGAAGTATCTGATATAGACTTGAATGCTAAATGAACTAAGTAACCTCAAAGACTGAGGATTAAGTAAGAGATTGGAATAAGTTTGGAAACTCGGATGAACTTATATGATGTATCATTCCTATGGATTATGAACCATAAATCAAGTACGTCAGCATTTCCTGATATAGTTGAAACATGGAAATGAAATAAAGAACATTATAATATTTGTTTGTCTCCTTAAGATTTATTCAGTGATGACTCAGAAGATGATCTGTGGATAATAATATTTTGGTATTAAAGAGTAAATACCCTGGAAGGTTAATGAATTGACAAGTTGGTAAGTATTGGTTCTGGGAGCTATTCATATGGAGTTGTTCGATAATCGGATTAATCGTCATAGATTGTAAAGATTCTGAATACCTTCAAATTTCGTAGAGATTCAGAAAAGTGTTCGAATAAGATAATCCCGATAAATCATATCCTGAATAACTGATGATTCTGTTAGTTAATGAACTTTTCAAATAGTTTTTCTAACTTCCGACATTCTATCGGTAAACTGAAGATTTGTGTCTCTCTACTCGATAAGATTATCCAATATCTCTGAATAATATCTGTAAACTCTGGTGTGTTCCCTAATCATATAAATATTTTATCTGATTTTCGACTTGAATTTTGTTCTGATATATGACCTGAATTCTGTTCTAATTTCTGATCTGGATTCTGTTCTGAATTCTGTTCTGATTTCTGATATCTCCGTTTAATGACGGAAAAATGTTTTAATTGGGGGGTATTGTTGAAGGAAGTATTTCTGCAGGTTCCTTGGCTTTGTGCTCAGGGCCTTATATGATGTGTTGGGTTGGGTGTATGGTTCTGGGGAACCTACACATTCTGATGTGATGGGATGGGGGTATATATATATATATGTTTTAAAAGATCTGTATCTTTTTACTGGTTTTACGGGAACACACTAGATAACCTATTCTGATCTCCTGAACTCAGTCATCCGAAATATTTGTATGAACTGAAAGCTCATTGTCTGTTACCATCTGAAATATCAATAGGATCTCTGCTCAGTATAAAAATCTGTAAATGTTCGGAAATAATAAGGATATGTATGTTTATCTGTATCTGCACGTTCTTCAGCATCATCTGGTAGTTTTGTATTACTGAGCTTTTCGAATCTCACTCTATTACTCACCTTTTCAGGTTAAAAGAATTGTACCAGTGCATCTATCGACTTCATTAAGGGAGTTCTTCCGGCGTTGTTGCAGAGTATGGTACATGTGATTAGGGGGCATGTAATTGTATTTTGATTTATATACGAGTCTGGAAATCTATTTTATTTTTAAATAGCGATAACTGATTTTATTAGTTTACATGTACTGATAATTTTTTTTAAATTTTCGCTTTGGGTGCATGATGATGATTTTTATTTGGTTTGTTGGGTGCCATTTAGTGAATCAGGATGAAAATTCGATGTGTTGAGTTGTTAATTTTCAAGTCCATATGTGTGTTCATGCATGAAATTTGATTTAGAATACTAATAATTGAGTTTGAGATTTGTACTATTAGGACATGTTTAAAATGATTATTAAGTTAATTTGAACTTGTTGAAAATTAGTTAGAACCAGAATTGCATGATGCGGTATGCTTAGTTCTTAGTTTTGCATAAAATTTCATGATTTGTCACTTAGAGTGAGGGAGAGAACCATGTTGGTCGAGACAGAGGTGGGAGAGATCTAGGGTTTCAATGACTTTTCCCAAGGAAGATGAATCTTTCCTCTTCTTATTCTTTTAGTTAAAATAAGTTATATAAATTAGAGAAAATTAGGGTTTTATTTGAAACTTTATAAAAATGGAAGAATCAGGGAATTGCATTTAGAGATTCCATCTAAATCTGGTGACTAAGAGGAAATACTTTTGAGTTCAAATCAGAAAATGGTAAATTGTAGAAAATACTTTTGACAAAGATCATAGAGTGTCGTTTGCAACACGCCCTACCTTCTCTAATTGGTCCTACCAAAAGATCTTTCTCAAAGGATGAAGTATTATAGAAAAAAATATTATAAACTAGGAAATCATTCATTCTATGCACATAAAGGAAGATAGAATGAGATGGATTGCCATCAAAGTTGACCTCCAAAAGATTTTTGATAATCTCCGTTTGGATTAATGAGATTATTTGGGGATCGAGCTCATCATCGAAGTTGACCTCCAAAAGATTTTTGATAATCTCCGTTTGGATTAATGAGATTATTTGGGGATCGAGCTCATCATCGGCTCGTATTGCTTTGATTAATGAGATTATTTGTATCAACATGTCGATTGTGGAGGCTTGGGTATTCATGGAACCAGAAACCATAATACTACTTTGAAGATGAAGATTTGCAATGCACTTGTTCAATCGCCCAATGCCTTTTGGGTCCAATATAAGATGTCTATGGTTTGCCTAGAATATATTGCTCGCATGAATTATTCTCCCTTTTGGCGCTTCTTGCCGCCATTTGGCCTTCCTTCTATGATCATTTAGCGTGCTTTATAGGATATGGAAACACAATTTGCTTTTGGAAATATGTCTGGCTCATGGAAATATGTCAAGGACATGACCCGAAATGATGGCTCATGGAACTGGGTCCTGCTTGTTCACTTGCTCATTCCAGCTGTTATACCACATTTTCAAAGTATTCAACCGCCAAATCATCTTCTTGGACCAGATTGCTGCTACTGGAAGGATAGGGAAGGTTCAAAATGCAAATTCTTTGTCAAAAGTGCCTATGTTCTGTTCTCTAAGACTCATTGGGAGGACACAAATCCTCGCCCGAGGTTGATTTGGAAGCTTAGAGTCCCTGAACAGGCTCGTGGATTCCTCTGGCTTGCGATGAATGACAAACTCCTCTCAAACCATAATCCGTGTCGTCTACAAAACTACTTTGACCTTTCCCTTGAAGCATGGTTCTTAGGCAACCTGAATTCCAAGGTTTTATGAGACGAGATTGATGGACCTTGGAAGATTCTTTTCCCTTCAATCATACAATAGACTTGAAAGCGGAGTAACAAGTCAATATTCCAAGGGGGTTATGTTGATTTGGATAAGTTCTATGTCGCTAGTTCGGGGAATAATGCTGGTGAGCGGAATCAAAGGCAATTGCCCTACCTCGGTTTATTGTCTCAAAATGAATTCTTTTTTACTTAAAAGAAAAACATAATAGTAACTCTATATAAATAATTAAATGAATATTTTTTAAGTCTATGTTCATTTAAAATTAAATAAATTAAGCTTTATTACTATTTTTTAAAATAATTATGAAACTAGTAGAATTAAACCTTAACCTCCTCGTGTTTAAATTTTAAATTAATAGTTTAATAAGTATACCTTGAATTTCATTTTATTACTATTTATAATTGATTCGCGCTAAACTTTGGTGGTGGTTTCGTCCCTAGACAAACTATATATAAAATTGAAAATTGTTGCAAAAAAGGCTTTATTCAATGGGAGTGCAAGAAGAGAGGAACACAAGAGAATTGGATGAAATGCGAAATAGTTATGCTACGAGGAAATATGTATTGGCTTGTTCCATTTTTGCCTCTCTCAATTCCGTGCTTCTTGGCTACGGTTTGTCTTTTATCATTTCTTTCTTTCTTTTGTAAGGTTTCAATGTTGTTTTTAAATTTATATAATTGGTGAAATCCCAAATTGATATTTACATTTGGGATTCTGATTTTGTTGACAGATGTGGGTGTAATGAGTGGAGCAATTATATTCATCCAGGCAGATCTAAAGATATCAGAGATACAAGAAGAAATCCTGGTGGGAAGTTTTAGCATAATTTCACTTTTGGGTAGCTTAGCTGGTGGCAAAACATCTGACACCATTGGTAGAAAATGGACTATAGCCCTTGCTTCCATTATTTTCCAATCTGGTGCAGCTATAATGTCTTTGGCACCTTCTTACCAAATTCTCATGATCGGTAGACTCTTGGCCGGGGTTGGGATCGGTTTTGGAATCATGATTGCCCCCGTATACATCGCCGAGATATCCCCTCCCGTTTCTAGAGGTTCTCTTACTTCCTTCCCTGAGATCTTTGTCAACCTTGGCATTCTCCTTGGATACATCTCCAACTATGCATTCTCAGGGTTTTCTGTACAAACAAACTGGCGCATTATGCTTGCCGTGGGGATCCTTCCTTCTGTTTTCATCGGATTTACCTTGTGCATAATACCCGAATCCCCTCGCTGGCTCGTGATGCAAAACCGAGTCGAAGAAGCAAGATCTGTGCTTTCAAAGACATACGACAATGCAGGGGAAGTAGAGGAAAGATTAGCAGAGATACAAGTAGCAGCTAGTATTGCGAATAAGTACGAATCAAAAGCAGTATGGCTCGAGATATTAAATCCGAGTCCCTCCGTTCGACGGATGTTGATTACCGGTTGCGGAATCCAATGCTTCCAACAGATGTCTGGTATCGATGCAACCGTGTATTATAGTCCAACAATTTTCAGAGATGCTGGGATAAAGATAAACACTGAACTCCTCGTGGCAACAGTGGTTGCCGGCTTCACTAAGACCATGTTCATTTTGATTGCAATTTTCCTCATTGACAAATTAGGTAGAAAGCCTTTGCTCTACATAAGCACAATAGGGATGACATTTAGCCTATTCTGTTTGAGCTTCACTTTGACATTTTTCAAGGATGAACGGCTCCGGACTGGAATGGCTATCATATTCGTTTGTATGAACATGGCTTTCTTCTCAGTCGGACTCGGACCGATATGTTGGGTTGTTTCGTCCGAGATATTCCCTCTACGGCTTCGAGCTCAAGCATCAGGTCTCGGAGCAGTGGGTAGCAGGGTTAGTAGTGGGCTTATTTGCATGTCGTTCCTCTCGGTTTCTCGAGCCATTACTGTAGGAGGAACGTTCTTCATTTTTTCTGTGATTTCGGCTCTAGCAGTGGCGTTTGTGCACTTGTGTGTGCCGGAAACTAAAGGGAAATCATTGGAAGAAATCGAGATGTTGTTTCAGGATGGAAGTGAATTGCAAGGTAGTGAGATTGAGATGGGAAATGCACAGCTTTTGATGCAAAGGCTATGAAGTTTGCCAAAACTTTGTTACTAACTAGTCGACAACCGCATTCGCTGGGTTGTAATTTTTTTTAATCAAATGAGTATTTATTTAATTTTTCAATCTATAATATCAATAATATTTCTATAGGAACAATAATATCTGTACTAGTATAATATGATAACAGTTTAGAGTGGAATAATGATCAATTTTTTAGATACATTTAAAACTTATTATTTTTTAATTGAAAAGAGGCCTAAGCTGTGGAGTCAAGCTGGTACGTATGTCCTTTGTCACTATAGGCCCATTAAAGGCTTCTAATATTGAATAAAGAAGACAAATAATTACTCTCTCAGAAAACGTTATTCATAGAGGGGGTTTTGTCAAGAACTAATATGCTTCTTGATTAATCATATGTCACACCAAAAATTCTTTCACATCTAGTCCTGTGACTAGATCCAACGCTAAGGCTTATAACATCTTGGTGTCATAACCAACTGTCATGGGTGACGCCGAGGATTTGACAAAGAAGTGAGTGATTTCATGGAATAAATTACTACAGGACATCGAGCACTAGAGAAGAATGTGGTTAGATTATCTCATGCTATGTAAAAGACGGTGAATGGGTATCCACATAGAAATTATGAACAACAGGAAAGCCGAAAAAGGACTTCAGACTCGCAACAAGGTGGGTCTATGGTGCCACAACAGTAAGATGAAATTTTCCACCTATAATGATATTGGAGATCCTTTAGGGTGGGTGAAATGGTGCGAGAAATTCTTTAGAAACATCAAACTAATGAACATGACAAAGTAGGCTTAGCATCATTTCATCTCTTAGGAGAGATGCAACTACGGGTTGATCAAATTGAAGAAGAGGAGGTAGGCCTTGATTGGGGCATTTCAAAGAGTATTGTCATTTGAGGTTTATGTCACCTATGAGTAATAACCCCTTCGGGGAACTTGCCAACCTGAAACAGACTAGGATTATAGAAGAATATCAAAGTCAATTTCTATCACTATTGGCTAAGACTTATAATCTTAAATTGAGATTGAGATGCAACTGTCAGGAAACCTAAGCGTTGCAGTAAATATGGCTCAAGCATTGGAACGTAAACAAAAGATCTGTTCAAAAATTTCATCTCGAACAAACTTGAATTGGTCAACTTTCTAAGACACTGAAAACAATCCAATCATTCCAACGACTAAAAACTTCAATGCAAATGGAAGGGGGATAAACAACGAAACCAGCGGAAAACATCAACAAAGTTCTTTCGTACCCTTTACTAAGAGATTGGCACAAACAGAAATGGCCAAAAGAAGGGTTAAGGGGTTGTGTTATAATTGTGATGAGTCTTATTCCTTAGGACAAGTGTAAAAGGTTATTTTGAATTGAAGTACCATATTATGAAGGTGAGCAAGATAATGATGAGGTGGAGGATCAAGAATTTTCTTTACGTGCCATCAACATTTTAATACTCAACTATCGTTCGACCTACCATTTGCAAGGCCCAAATATTTTTATTGAAGTCGATATTGAAGCTTAATATATTAGTCAACTTGCAATGAATTTTCAGCCGTGATCAGAGCATTTTCAAAGCACAATGATTATTGATATAGAATCGAATTTCAGTTAGTTTTTTAACGCATTTTGAAACGCTTTAATTGGACATCAAGAACTCAAGATATGATCATTTTAGCAAAGATATCACATGTAAAAAATTAAATACGATAATTTTAATTTATTATGAATTTTCAATTATTTTATTGATTATTTTTAATTAAATTCAACTTTAAAATTTTCCTTATTTAAATCTTGAAAAGACTAAATTTATTGTTAAAAATAATAACTGAAGTTACATAAATATTCTATAGTATTAGAGGAGTATTTGATAAAAAAATAATTTTAAAATGACGAAGAAATTAAGGGCAAAATGAATTAAGGATGAATATTCGAGTTAGTCAAGTTGATTAGTTATATTTTATTATTTAAAATTTATTTATTTATTAAGTGAGTCTAATATATGAAGTTTAAATTGAATTGATTTTTTGAATTGAACCGAATTTTAATAAATTATTATTGACAAGAAAATATTGTGCTCAAAATGGTAAAATACACCTCAACACACCAACTCAAACCCTAAAATCCTACCATCTTCCTTTAGGGTGCGTTTGGTTCACGGAATAAGATTACCAATGGGAATAAAAGATTACCAGATAATAGGATTACTGGGAATGTTACATTACTGTGTTTGGTTGGTTTGGCAGGAATGTAAGATTACAGTGTTTGGTTGGAGGAATAAAAGATTACTGGAATGTATATTTTACCAAATTGTCTTTGTTCTATATTTGTTTTTTTAACAAGTGAAATTCTAAATATTTAAATAAAAATTATTATATAAAAATTCTATTTGTTGATAATATATTACTTGAGTATTTAAATATATCATGTATTATTTTAATTAATATTAAATTTTACATAATTTATGTAAAAATATATTAAAATTTTACATCAACATTTAACTAAATGTTTATATTGTGGAAATTCTTCATAGATATTCATAATAATAAAAATATGTAAATTATTTTTGTTATCTAAGATATAATATTTATTATATCTTCTATATACAATAATATAGTTATTTATCTTTTATATTTATACTTAATTCTGCATAATTTATCATTATTATTTATCTCATTATTATTTATCTCATTAATTTATACTGAAATTTGGTTTAAATTTATTACTTACAATTGAACCATTGAATTTCATTTTGATCCCGTAGTTATCTGGTTGGCCTGCACAGCCTGCTTGCATTGCCATTTGCTACAAAGCCTTTGGGAAATTTAGTTACATTTTGAATATTATAAGATTATTGATAGTCATATCTCCCTCAACTCCTTATGAACTCCTTTACTTCCATATGGTAGATGCTGACGCTTATCGATAAACTGTTAAGCAGGAGGATGAGCTTAAAGGTGCAATAGTTCTAATTTTTTCAAACAAGCAGGTGAACACTATAATTGCCCCATGCTCTACCACTCAAAGCTGGAAAAGTTGTCATTACAAATTGTTTATCACTGTGGATACCGCAAGGTTTTCAAAATCTTGATCTTTTAGATTGTAAACACTCAGTTTTAATGAACAGATCTACCTGGTGCACTTGATGTTGTTGCTGTGACCGATGCTTTGGAGTTGCACAAATTAAAAAGTCTTCAGTGGGCAATATTTAAAACTTGATGCAGTAAATGCTCGAAAACTAACACATTACTGGAACTCATATACTACATAACAAAAAGAAGTATAACATTAACCATCAAAAGATTGTACAATGTTCAGACTTACAAAAGATAATAGCCATGATATTTTAAACGTAACCATATATGTTGGCTATATTATATACACACAAAAATTTTCAAGTCAAAAGATTGACATATACTTGGCTAAGCTACACAAAAAAGTTGGGACCATATTCTAAAGTCATATCAAAAGATTGTACAATGTTCAGACTTACAAAAGATAATAGCCATGATATTTTAAAACGATCATATATGTTGGCTATATTATATACACACAAAATTTTCAAGTCAAAGATGACATATACTTGGCTAAGCTACACAAAAAAGTTGGGACCATATTCTAAAGTCATAATAAAAAAGAGATCGACATAATTTTAGAAGGACGACAATCAAAATGATGGTCTAAATTGACGGCATTCAACCAATTGCTTAATCACATAATCTTGCTTGAATTCATTTGGCAAAGAAAAGAAGAAATCTACCTTGTGTGCATATTTGCTTATATACTCTCCTGTAGTAAGCATTTCATCAGTGGACAGTCCTTCAATTTTCATGATTTCAGTGAAAATCGACATTCTTCGATCATTTCCTTCTGCCTCCTTTTTCAATAAAGCAGTAATATTGTTAATTTCTTTGGCAATTTCTCGGTATGCAGCACCGAACTTACTTATCTCCTGTACAAGCTCGGTTAACCCATCATCACTTCGAGACCTTTTCTTGCTAGCTACTTTTTTTCATTGTAGGGGTAGAGGCAGTAGCATCAGACGTTTGGCAAGTTGAAGCACCAACATTCTCTCTTGATTCAGAATCTCTTACTCCCTCTTCTTTAAGTAATGCAACTATAAATGCATTGTCTTCAACATCAATATGTTCCACTGCATCAGCTGCTGTCTCCACTGCTATTCGTGTAGCTTTCTTTTCCAAATATATGAACAAAGTCATCAAAGAATGGAAATGACTTGTTTCTCAATCCAGCAGCAGTTGGATGACTCTACAATATAATAAAATCACAAATTTAATAAATCTTACAAAGCTAAGTAGATAACAAAGAGTATAGAAAGAAGATAAATTCAATTAAAATACTTACTCTAACCCAATCATCAAACACATCCTTTGGTGCAGTTAAACATTTTTCTTCTTCATTCCAACTGAATCCACTTCCAATATTCAACATTTCAGATAAAGCATTGTATTGTCTTTTGAGTAGCTTCACTATAGATTCAATATGTGGATGGGCCCTAATTTGTGATGTTGGAAGCTTGATTTCTAACATCTTTTCAAGTTTAGATAGATAACATGATCTAAATGTTCCATTATTATCTTTCCAATGTGGGTCTTCAGCCAAAATGTGTAAACATTCAACAAGTGCAGCATCCTCCTCTTTAGTCCATGTCCTTTTAGTTACTAAAGACTTAACCTTTCTAGATGTCGATGGTTTTTCCCCCCTTTGAGATTCCATATTTGATGTTGACATATTTCTCTTGGAAACAATCTAAGAAGATGTATATAAAAAATGTATAACCTAACATAAAACATGTCATCATTGTCAATACTAATCATAAATGAAATTTAAAATAGAAACATAATAAAAATCAAATGTACTAAATGACATAAGTAATGAATGTCCATAACAAATAAAATTCGAATTTTATAGAAGAAAAATACATAAAATTTAATAAAGTTTATGCCATAAAATATAAAGATGTCAAATACATGAAAGTAATAACCAC